AATGAAATTGTTTTAAGTAGTTTTAAAGTAAGCTGCCCTTGAACTCGGTGAAGATGCACCTGAAACCATTTAAAGTCATTAAAATCAGACGAACACTCGGAGGAGCAGCAACGTTATCAACTGTGCAAGGACGGATGTGTGACAGTCACCTCCCCGTCGCACGAGCTCGTTGGTCGTGCAGCGGGCGAATTAAAAACAAAACTGTAAACATCACGTACGATGCGTCCCGGAGGCGTCAGATGATCCATGAATCACTGACCCTCAGCTTAATAACTCCTCCTCCACGTCTCACGTTTTGCGATGCAGAAGAAAACTTTCTGCTGAAGTTAAAATCTTTGGTTGGATTTGCTTCTGTTCACGTCGGCTTCGCTGCACAAAATCAGACTGTGTAAAAATAGGTGTGAACGCACCTGAGGGGTTCTCGACTGATGACCTCACAGGGTCACCCTCACCTCATTGGCTCATCGCAGACACAGCAGCAGGTTCAACTTGTTAATAAAAGGTCAAATTCTCGCACCTGTCTGAGTCTGTGTGCTCTTTCTGGCGTCAAACAGGTAACAGGTGCAAAGGTATGAATTTAAACTGACTTCATAGTTTCATCGTATCTGAAACCCAGCAGCGTCTCTGGGAGGCAGCGCCCTGAATCCTCCCGTGTTTATATTTGTCTTCAGGTTTAGGCCTTTAACCCGATCACGCCATCATAATGGACTTTAGGGGGATTTGAACTGAACCTGATGGGATCATTCTTGTTTTGTTTCGTGTTACTTTAAGCTCCCATCGAGCTCCCGCACATCCTGCCTGAGCATCGGAGAAGAGCCGTCACACGAAAAACTCCCTCTGAGTTCATGCCAACAGCAGCAAACGGTTTAATGTGGGAGGAGCCAACGGGAACGCTGATGTAAACGATCCCGACTCCTTGATCATCAGAAGGAAATAGGCTCTGAAGATGAAAGTTTATCCCACAGTACAAAGAAAACCCTGATAAATGATAATAATACAGTGAAATATCAAAAAGAATTAAAAATGGTTTATTAATATTTATATTTATATATATAAATATAAATATTTTGTTTTATATAAAACAACTGCTGGTTGGATAATAATAAAGAAGAAGAAGTAACAAATATCATAAAGGTGTGCGATGAAAGTCGACCACCTGCAGGAACAGTTTGACCCCTCGACCTTTATTATTCCTCTCAGCTGAGGTCAAAGGTCACGCTAGCGTAAACAGCACCTGTGGAGCTGCGGAAAGTTTCGGTTTCTTGCTCAAAGGCACTTCAGCAGGAAACGATGCATCTGACAGGACCTGATGTGATGTGACAGCGTGACGTGATGCAACGCGGCGTGACACACGAAGACGCGGTGGCGGGATGGAGCGTCAGATGTCGTGGTTCAGAGACGGCGCCGGATGTTCAGCCTGAGAAGACTCGACTGAACGAGGTCAGAGAGGACGCCCGTCGATGACGCCGCGTCCGTGGACGAAGATCGAACGCAGCCTGTGGACGGACTTTAAAAAGGCTCGCCGTCATTTTGTAACCAGCTAAAGAGAAACGTTG